TTCCTGAATTCCTGAATCCCTGAGTTCCTGAATTCCTGAATCCCTGAGTTCCTGAATTCCTGAATCCCCAAATCCCCAAATCCCAGCCCCAGGGCCGTGCTCCTGCCCAATCCTGGATCCTCGAATCCCCGAATCCCGGATCCCAGCCCCGGGGCCGCACTCCTGCCCAATCCCAGATCCCCAAATCCCCAAATCCCAGCCCCAGGGCCGTGCTCCTGCCCAATCCTGGATCCTCGAATCCCCGAATCCCGGATCCCAGCCCCGGGGCCATGCTCCTGCCCAATCCCGGATCCCCAAATCCCCAAATCCCAGCCCCAGGGCCGTGCTCCTGCCCAATCCTGGATCCTCGAATCCCCGAATCCCGGATCCCAGCCCCGGGGCCATGCTCCTGCCCAATCCCGGATCCCCAAATCCCCAAATCCCAGCCCCAGGGCCGTGCTCCTGCCCAATCCTGGATCCTCGAATCCCCGAATCCCGGATCCCAGCCCCGGGGCCATGCTCCTGCCCAATCCCGGATCCCCAAATCCCCGAATCCCGGGATCCCCGAATCCCCAGATCCCCAAATCCCGGATCCCAGCCCCGGGGCCATGCTCCTGCCCAATCCCGGATCCCCAAATCCCCAAATCCCCAAATCCCGGGATCCCCAAATCCCCAAATCCCGGATCCCAGCCCCGGGGCCATGCTCCTGCCCAATCCCGGATCCCCAAATCCCCAAATCCCCAAATCCCGGGATCCCCAAATCCCCAAATCCCGGATCCCAGCCCCGGGGCCGCACTCCTGCCCAATCTCTGGATCCCCAAATCCCCAAGTCCCCAGATCCCCAAATCCCGGGATCCCCAAATCCCGGATCCCAGCCCCATGGCCGTGCTCCTGCCCAATCCCGGGATCCCCAAATCCCCAAATCCCGGATCCCAGCCCCGGGGCCATGCTCCTGCCCAATCCTGGATCCCCAAATCCCGGGATCCCCAAATCCCCAAATCCCGGATCCCAGCCCCGTGGCCGCGCTCCTGCCCAGTCCCCGCTCCCACCGCGGGCTCTCCGTTGGCGCAGTGCGGGCTCACCCTGGAGGCGGCTGTGGAAGTCGGGGGCCAGCACCTGGCGCAGGTGAGCGTCCCCAGGCTGCCGCAGGACGCACAGGGACCACACCGCGTCCGTCAGCAGGTGCACGTCCAGCTCCCGCTCCCGGCCCCGCAGCCGCTGCCGGACCTGCGCGGGGACAGCGGCGCTGCAGCGGCCGCGGGGATCCCGGGACCCCCCTCCCGGGGGAACGTCCCGGGGGGCACAGGTGACACCTGCGGGAGGCTCCAGGGCCTCTCCCGGGGCCCGGAGCAGGAGCCGGGAGGGGTTTGGGACACGGGGAATGGGGGACTCGGGGGGCTCAGGGGACGGAATCTGCGGCTGTGAGGGCTCTCCGAGCCCCCTCCCCACCCAGAGCGCTCGGGAATTCCGCGATCCCGGGGAGCTCACCACGGAGAAGAACTCCTGGCCGGAGCTGGGCTGGAAGCCGAGGTGGCCGAAGGAGACGAGGATCCCGCAGAGCTGGGTGAGGGACAGCTCCTGCGCGTTCTCCAGGCAGTACTGCGGGAAAAACGGGAACGTGACGGCAGCGAGAGCCTGGAAACATCGGCCAGAGGCACCTCCCGGGGGGAAATGGGACAGGAAACCCTGGGGATCCGCCCAGGGAGCGGGGGAAACCCTGGGATAGCCCAGAGCGGGTGGGAAACAGCAGGGATGGACTGGGATGGAACTGGGATGGACTGGGATGGAACCGGGATGGAACTGGGATGGAGCTGGGATGGAACTGGGATGGAGCTGGGATGGAACTGGGATGGAACTGGGAAGGAACTGGGATGGAGCTGGGACAGAGCTGGGAAGGAACTGGGATGGAGCTGGGAAGGAACTGGGATGGAGCTGGGAAGGAACTGGGATGGAGCTGGGAAGGAACTGGGATGGAGCTGGGAAGGAACTGGGATGGAGCTGGGAAGGAACTGGGATGGAACTGGGATGGAACTGGGATGGAACTGGGATGGAGCTGGGATGGAACTGGGAAGGAACTGGGAAGGAACTGGGAAGGAACTGGGATGGAGCTGGGATGGAGCTGGGAAGGAACTGGGATGGAACTGGGATGGAACTGGGATGGAACTGGGAAGGAACTGGGAAGGAACTGGGAAGGAACTGGGATGGAACTGGGATGGAGCTGGGAAGGAACTGGGATGGAACTGGGATGGAACTGGGATGGAACTGGGAAGGAACTGGGAAGGAACTGGGATGGAACTGGGAAGGAACTGGGATGGAACTGGGATGGAACTGGGACAGAGCTGGGATGGAACTGGGAAGGAACTGGGATGGAGCTGGGATGGAACTGGGATGGAACTGGGATGGAACTGGGATGGAACTGGGATGGAGCTGGGATGGAACTGGGATGGAACTGGGATGGAACTGGGATGGAACTGGGATGGAACTGGGATGGAACTGGGATGGAACTGGGATGGAACTGGGATGGAGCTGGGAAGGAACTGGGATGGAACTGGGATGGAACTGGGATGGAACTGGGATGGAACTGGGATGGAACTGGGATGGAACTGGGATGGAACTGGGATGGAACTGGGATGGAACTGGGATGGAGCTGGGAAGGAACTGGGATGGAACTGGGATGGAACTGGGATGGAACTGGGATGGAACTGGGATGGAACTGGGATGGAGCTGGGAAGGAACTGGGATGGAACTGGGATGGAGCTGGGATGGAACTGGGATGGAACTGGGATGGAACTGGGATGGAGCTGGGAAGGAACTGGGATGGAGCTGGGATGGAGCTGGGAAGGAACTGGGATGGAACTGGGATGGAGCTGGGATGGAACTGGGATGGAACTGGGATGGAACTGGGATGGAGCTGGGAAGGAACTGGGAAGGAACTGGGATGGAACCGGGACAGGACTGGGATGGAACTGGGATGGAACTGGGAAGGAACTGGGATGGAACCGGGACAGGACTGGGATGGAACTGAGACAGGACTGGGACAGGACCGGGACAGGACTGGGATGGAACTGGGAAGGAACTGGGAAGGAACTGGGATGGAACTGGGACAGGACTGGGACAGGACTGGGACAGGACTGGGATGGAACTGGGATGGAACTGGGATGGAACTGGGATGGAACTGGGACAAACGGAGCCCAATCCAGCGGAAATGATCCCAAATTCCCACTGGGAAGCGGTGCCGGAGCTCGGGCAGGGGAGGGGCCCCAGTGTCACCTGCTCCAGGTGACACCAGCCCGGAGTGACAGGAACCCGCCCTGCCCTGCTGGGGACGGTGACAACTCCCCCTGCACAGGTGAGCGAGCCCTGCCTCCCCCAGGGCCAGCTGAGTCCCCCCATGCCCAGGTGAGTTTCCCCATGCCCAGGTGAGTCCCCCCATGCCCAGGTGAGGTTTCCCCATGCCCAGGTGAGTTCCCCCATGCCCAGGTGAGTTTCCCCATGCCCAGGTGAGGCTCCCCATGCCCAGGTGAGGTTTCCCATGCCCAGGTGAGGCTCCCCATGCCCAGGTGAGT